TCTTCTTCTTCTTCTTCTTCTTCTTCTTCTTCTTCTTCTTCTTCTTCCTCTTCCTAATACTATTACTAATAAACACACCAGCAACTTGAAAAGATTACAATTGAGATGGAGGGGGGTGAAGCCCTACATATTAGTAAGTAAATCTAGACATATAGTCTCCTTCCTATGAGACCTACATTGTCCAAATAGCTCACCATAACATAATAATTTTTAAAATATTCTGTAAAAGTTTAGATAACTTACTTAATCTTCATGGGTCTAACATGCCTAATTTGTAACATGTGAATGAAAATTTGCATTATCAGTATAGATATTTTCATTGATTATCAATTGCCTTATGGATATCAAGTTATTTGAAAACATCAAGTATTATATATGTATACATGTGTGTATACACATTTGTGTATATATGCATATATACATACATATGTATATGTATTTATGCATAATGCCTATTGTCAACATATGCACATGAATAGACAACTCATAGAGCTGGGATAACAGTAAATTTATCATGGATGGAGATATTAGATAGACAGTGAACTAAGTCCTGAATTGAATAGGGGGAAGAAAACACATTGGATTTCATTGAGAAACTGTCCAGTGCTGTTAATTGCTCCAATTTAAATTTTCTCCCATCTTTTTAACATCGATAATTTCTCAGTAATTATGGTATCACTTGTAAGTTCTGAAATCCTTCAGTTTACAAAGAATTGAAGTTGTAAGTCACCAAAAAGTTATTGGGGCATAGCATGGTGAACATGACTAGGAAGCAACAAATTACCAATAAAGAACTGTGCAAAAGAAGCTAAGGAAATGAATGGAAAAGGAGGATGGTGGATCAAGGGTTAAAGGTAAAAGGTATCTGATGGACCAAAACTGCGCAAGCAAAATTGAGCTATCTAGAGTAAGCATTTTGGGATGAATTTGTTAAGAGGCATGGACAAGAGTCCCACATTGAGAAGATCAATTGCAATCTGTTCTACTGGAAGGAGTACCCACACCAATGCAGTCAGAGATCCATTGGAATAGATAGCAAATTATTGAAATGTTACAATGGTTACTAACTGTGAAAGAGCTTGGGTACCCTCCTGATGTGCTCAACATATTAAATGAACGAGATATGAAATGACTGAAAGCAAGAGATAAATTTCATTAATTCCACATTCATTGATTAACCACCTATTATAATTATAATACTTTTGTACAGCCAGTGAGAAAAAATGCATCATGTATTAACCAATCATTCTTCAGGTTAAAGCAAAAACACTTTCTCAATTATCTAGGTGATTTTAGTCAAAGTAAGGTTGTGGAGATTATTGCTGTCAATTTCCTGGGCAATAGAGGCTCCATTGGGAACTTTGTTTTCCATCATGGCTTCCATGCCTTTGATCTCCTTGTACTTATTCAGACAAGTCTTCTGTTAAAAGGATAGAAGATTATTTAGGGTTGCAGGATGGTCTTAAGCCACAGTTTGATACAGGTTTTTTCAGATGTGTTTAGTTCAGGGATGCATATCAGACTGGTTATTTTTTAAGTTACCTAACACATCAACAATGTGAACAACAGTAGCTGTGAATTATTCAGTTGCCTGAATATGTTTGTTTATATGTTATAGGTTCTTGAAAAAGATAAAGGGTTTGTTTACCCTCTCTGAGGTAGCCTCTTACCAAAAAATTAAATGAAACAAGGTAAAGCAAAGGACTAGTAAAATCACATTTTATTTTTATATAAAGACATAAATGTGACTAAGAAATAATTGGCTTAATTTGGTTATCTCCTTTATCATTAAAATACATAAGAAGTATGTTATATTTCCAGCATGATTACTTTCATGGATTCCCCCCAACACACAATTTTTTTAGGAGAAGGATGAGGTCTTGGTCTCTATATCTATGATGCCAGATGTTGTTGGAGCACAAGGTTAGTGTTTTATAACTTTGTTCATGTTTTATTCTTTATGGGATCATAGATTTATTATTATTTATAATAATTAAAATTTATATAGTGTTTTAAGGTTTTAAAAGACATTCTTATAATTATTATCTCATTTGATCCTCATAGCAACTCTGGGAGGTAGGTGTTATTATTATCCAAATTTCGCAGATGAGGTAACTGGAACAGATATTATGTGACTTGCCCAGGGTCACACATCTAATAAGTGTCTGAAGTTGGATTTGAACTCAGTACTTCCTAAATCTATATCCTACATTCTATCCATGGTGCCACCTATGTGCATATTTAGAGTTATAATGTATCCTAGAGACCACCAACTTCAATGTCATTTTCTTT